TTCCCTTGTTTAGTTGTTTGGCTCATAATCCAGCTTCTGTTTTGCAAGCAATCATTCTTAGATAGCATTCCTAAGCAAGGCACCACCACCACTCATCCTGGTTAATGATGAGGAAGAGTATGAGGTGGAGGAAATTTTGGATAGCAAGATATTCCAGTAAAGTTACAGTTCAAGGTGAAATGGAAGAGATATGGCATTGAGGACATCTTTGGGAACCACAGGCCAATGTATGTGCACTAGCCCTAGTCCAGGACTTCTACTGCAGGCAGCCCAATGCTCCAAAGGCAATTAGGGGCATCTACCCTATCTCTGCAGCTGACCAAGCAATCTGCAAGAGCTTCACCACAAGCAGACAATACATTCTTGAGTGAATTCTGCCACAAATTGAGGGCCTCATTCACCCCAAGCAAGCAGTACAGCTCTTGAGTAAACTCTGCTACAAATTGAGGGCCTCAGTCAGAGACATAACTATTGAATAGAGCATGAAGCTTCCAAGCATTTTCTCAATATAGGCTTCCTGGTACCAGGGCAGAGCAAGTCATGTGAGTAGGGATGAAGTAAGCTTGCTTTCCATAGAGGTCCACCATCACCATAACTGCATTTGTACTCATGAACATCTGGCAGTTCAACAATGAGATCCACTGAAGCAACACTCCAGTGAGTAGCTGGGATAGGAAGAGGGTGGAGTTGACTCTTGGGTGACTGACAACAAGGCTTGGTGTAGAGGCAAAGATTGCAGGTGCTAGTGTAGGTGTCTATATACCAGGATATCTGAGGCCACTAATAGTTCCAGAACACCAGCTCAAGAGGCCTTCAACCTACCAGGATGCCAGTCACCTGGGAGTTGTGGTGCTGCTCTACAATATGCTGACAGAATTCTGGGATGTTGGGCACATTGATGTGTCCTCAGAAAATCAAAAGTCCATCTTGGAGGCCACACTCATTCACATGTACTAATATAACTCCACTGGCACATTGGGCTTGAAGGGCCTTGGCAGCCTGGGCCATGGCAGCCTGGGCCATGGCATTCTCCTGTGCACCCTCCTGATTTCCTTGTTGGATGCCTTTGAGGATATTTGTTTCATCCCTTTGGACCACAATCCCTTCTAGAGCACAGATGGCAAGAAGCTCAGGGTTGAGGAGAACAATGTTATCATTATTGCCTGCTCCAGTCCCATGATCAGCTCTTCTGGACAGTGCATCTGGTTTGCCCATGCTCCATTCAGGTTTGTGATGCAGCAAGAAGTCAAAGTTGGTCAAACACAGGAGCTATTGAGCTTAGTGTCAATTGAGCTTCCTTGCCATATGGAAGTACTTGAAGTTCTTATGATCTGTCTAAACTTTGAACTTGTGCCATGTGCCCTCAAGAAAATGCTGTCATTCTTTAGAGGATCAAATCATGGCAAGCATCTCCTTGTCATGGATCTTGTAGTTCATTCCTACTGCATTGAGGTTTTTTGAGTAGAAGGCTACAGGATGCCATGGTCAGGGGACTGCCCATACTGGACCTCTTTCTTGTTTCCTTTATTCTGAGCTGGCCTCTCAGTCCCATCCTCCCATCTTCCAGTGACAAGTACTTTAGACCAAGCACTATCTAATGGTTATATTCCTCTATGCAGTCACATGCCCAGAGGCTGGAGATCAAGGCCATTTACAATGAATTACTATTTTTGGATCAGACTCACTTGCTATCCTCTTGTGATTGCTGGAAGAGGACTGCTTCTGTGACAAAGTCAGAGCTATCAGCTTTGACATGGAAGAGAGGACTGGTTTAGAGATAATGGATTGCTTGAGGGTATCAGAGGCAGCTTGCTGCAAGGACTCCATTGCTATGCTGTGTTCTAGCAGTGAGGTCAAAGAGGGGGCAAGCATGGTAAGAGAAATCCTGAATAAACCTCCAGTAGGAGTTAATGAAGCCCAAAAAGGCCTGGACTTCTTTCTTGTTCTTTGGCTCTAGCTACTTTGCTACACCTGCCAATTTGCCTGGGTCCATCTCAGCTATCTCATGTGAGATGATCAGGCCTAGGTACTCAACCTTTAGTCTGCTCAAACTTGCACTTCTAAGGCTTAACATAGAGCTGGTGTTAGTGGAGGCATTTCAAGACAATGTTTGTTATCTGACAATGCTCTTTCAAGGTCTTGGTGTAGATGAGGATATTCTCAAGGGAGGATGCAAACAATCTCTTCTACAATCAGATCACAGAAGGTGTTGTTCATCATTGTCTGGAAAGTGATAGGTCTATTAGTGGGAACAAAGAACATTGCTAGAGGTTCAAAGAGTCTGTGATTAGTTCTGAATGCTGCTTCCACTCATCTCTCTCCCTGATGCACACATTGTTGTAGCCAATGGACATCCAACTTGGCGAAGTAGCACATGCCTCAAAGGTTGTTGAAAAGTTTAGAGATAAGTAGCAAGGGGTGGCGGTTCTTCATCATTATCATGTTCAAGACTCAATAGTCCTGAACCAGAAAAAGAGACCCATCCTTCTTCTTGATGTGAAAAAGACTGGGGATGCCATTGGGTCAGAGAGTTGTACCTGGCCAGAGCTAAGATTCTCCTGCAAGAATGTATTCAGCTCATCCTGCTCACAAGGTGCAAGCAGATAGACTCAGCTCAATTGTGTAGTCTCATTGCTTGTGCTCCAAGAGCAAATTGAACAAGGCCTTGGAGATTATGTCCTCAAAGTCATGGAGGTGATGAGGAACTGTACTCTGAAAGGGCTTGGGCTGAGAGCTTTCTGCAAATGCTTCAGCCAGTTATTGAGAAGTTATATGACTGGTGATGTTGTTGCAAATATCCTGCATCCAAAAAAAGGCCTGTCACTCCACTATCAAGTAGTGTGTTGCCAACACTCCAGATCTGCTGAGTGTTTGTTATCTCAATTTCCACCTATAGCTTCAGGGAGTTAGCAGAAGGGGTGGAAGCAACAATTTCATGGCAGCGGAGACAGTGTCCCCAAACAAGAGTCTGAGAGTGTGGGCAAGGAGGTGGGTCCCTAGTGGAAACTTTTACTGGAGGGGGGTTTTGTATATCTGAGGGGATACTTGCTGTTTTGGTTGTAGCATTAATAGTTGCAACAAATACTTTCATTCTACAAACAAGGAGGCAAAACAATTAATACTAGGCAATGGGGGCATACAAGCCACTCATTGCCTTCCTAAAAATCATTCTAAGACTCAATGGGCACAACCTCTGACTCTTCTACAATGTCAACTAAGGGAGCAACTGTAGGTGTATTGGAGAAGAGGGCTCCAGCCACATTCCAGGCTGCCAGGACTTGGACAAGCAGCTCTTCTTGTTCAGACAAGAAGAGATGGTGCACCTCTAGCCTTTGAGGACAGCAACAGGCAAAGTGGCCAGCCTTCCCACAGCATTGGCACAACAGGAAAGTGGAGATCAATGTCCATAGGGACTCCCTGAAGTGGAGAACATGTGGGAACTGGTGGAAAAGTGCAGAATGAAGCAACATAGGATGGAACAGGGAGAAACAAATCCACTCATGGGGCAGCCAGAGGGCAGAAAGCAGTTGAGGGATGCTGTGTACATTGCAACTCATGCTTTAGCTCTATCAACTGCTACTACTCATGTGCCACCTTGTACTAGGTGTCAACATGTTCATTGTCAAGGCACCCTTTGGCCATGCTATCAATACAATCCATGAGAGGGGAGTGAAGTCCATCATGTAAGGTGAGGCAGAGCTGCAGGCCATCTAGATATCCAGCCTGCTAAACCTGTGTATGGAACAAATCAATATACTCATTTAAGGACCACTTCTCTTGACTATACTGGTCTTCTTTTCAAAGAAAAAGAGCCACAGTTTTCACAGGGTTGAGAGGAAAGAACTCCACCCAGATAATCCTTCTCAAACTCTGTCCAGTCCCCAAAACTGTTCACTCCTTCAGAGTGCCAAAACACACATAATGCACATGCCAAAGCTCAACCAGCATTCATGTAGGAAAGAGCCCAGGTAATCTTTAGGGCATCAAAGGCAAATACTTCACATAGGTGACACAGGACTGAAGAAAGCATTCCTGAGCCTTATGGTTCCATCAAATATGTCAGAAAGCATGGGTTGGTAAGTATAGGAGCAAGGAGTCAAAGAGTCCAAGCTAGATGCAGAAACAAGTCCTGCAGCTGGTGGGAGTGTAGAGGGAGCAGGAGGAGCAGGAGGGAGACATTTTGGGAGGGTATGGAGGGAGAGGGACACAGCTTCAGTAGTTTGATGTAATTCAGCAAGTTCAGCAGTGTGAGAAGTAAAGGAGGCTTGGGTAAGTTGTACCTGTATCTCTAGAGTCAACAAATGACTCTAGGCATTGTCCTGAGGGCTTGAAGCATCAGGGTCAGGTGCTGGAGGGATTGGTTGGGTTCATAGGAGTAGCACAGGAGGTAGTAAGACACCAGTGGGAGAGAGGCCTTTCAGTTGCCTCAACTCATTGAAACAATTGAGATTTAGGGTATTATAAGTGTGGACCCATCCAGTACATCTGGCAAGCCATGACCATATGGACCAAGGAATCATTCTAAGAATTTCTGGAAGAACATCTGCCAAGCCAGCCAGGGGTCCTTAATCATGTTTCAATTACTTATTTGTCTATTCCAGGTAGTTTTATGTCCTCAACATCCAATTGTCCACAAGAGGGGACATCCACATTGATTGATACATCTGAAGAAGATCTTCCAATTCCTCTGCACAGAAGACAATTTCCCATCTGTCTGGCATTTGCTATGACTATCATCAATAAATCACAAGGTCAATCAGTCAAACATGTTGGGTTAAATCTTCAAACACCAATTTTGTCTCATGAACAACTTTGGCACAACCAAATGAAGTGATATTGGGGGTGGATGTCAATGTTAAGTTATACAAAATACAAAGACCTAACCAAACAAAGTGAGGATGGGGTCTGGGTCTCAGCAAGAGGGCACGGACCGTAGCTTGTATGTAAGAGGGCAGAGGAAAACAAAATATTTACTGCATAATCAACAACAATAAATTGGAAGTCCTGACGGTGGTTCGAACACCGGACCCTGCGATAATTGGTATAATGACTGCAATCGCATGCTCTACCACTGAGCTACCAAGACGTTACTTTGGATTTCTCATCTTATTCTGTTGAGATTTGGAGAAACAAAAAAACTCGACTTGATCTAGATTTCTTTGGATACCTTATAAAGCTCAGTGCAGCCGTGACTCAATGGAACATATCTCTAAAATTTCCTCATCGTTTTTTATCGTTGACACCGGTTATGATGAACTCGTTTACGATGTGATTGACCAGAGCTCACTCATCGCTTGTATCACACACACTACTCGCGGGGAATGTAATGAATACATCTACTTGCAACAAACGATAAATACGCTAGCAATGTCAAATTAAACTTGAAGCTGGTTGTGTCAATATTGGGCACAGCCTTTCTCACGTACCCAGCGATGAATTAAGTCAGTCTTTCCGTGAATCAAGTCACTCTACCCGACGACGTGGTCGCGATCGTTTTAGAAGCTCAGCACGAAATCGATGGCGGGTGCTATCGATGCCGTAGCTCCCTCGCAAGCCTCCAGCAAAGAATAAACGCAATCAAAGCCGAAACACCACCTAATCTACAACACACTACCATTTCAGTCCATTAACCCTAAAACTCCAGAAAACCCAGGACACTCACCGAAAGATATAGACAACCGAATTGGATCCTTTATCCCTCCCCAGTGGTTCTTCTCGGCCGATCACTACTCGAACTTCATTTATCACAGTGCTGATGACTTTTGTCGGGTTCGGTGGGGGCGAGATTGTATGTATCGGGGGTTGTACAGGGTCAAATATCGCAAATATGACCGCCGATAAACCCGTTACAAGAAATTGAGGTATGACGACGAAGACATTGTGTATACCCTTTCCCATACCCAATAAAATATCGAGTCAGCCATGGAACACCAAGAAATGCGAGAAAGAAACGTACGAGAATGATACCAGCCTTTGAGCTCAAGCCTCCGCTACCCTCAGCACCCACACCCGTAGTCGCATCCTCACAATCCTCCTCGTCATCATCATGCCCCTCCAGATCCACAGCCACCCTGCTCACACGCGCATACATGTTGCCAAATAAACTGCCCTCGGACCTTGGAGGCACATCATCGTCAAGGTCTGACTCATCATCACGCTCCTCTCTCAAATGCTGATGATGATTATACAGAAACACCGCCGTCTCGCCCGACGCCTCGGGATCGTCGACTGGTGTTCGGGCATCAGCGAGAAGAATGGAGTTTCGTTCGTTCAAAGTTTGGTCAGGTGTCGTTAAGATTGCTTCTGCGAGCTGCAAGCAGTGTAAGAGTTGGAGTGGGCATTACACATGAAGGAAGAGGGCATACAAGTGAAAAAGGCGCCCACTGCGTAATCGCCCACGAGAAGCCGGTGACACTGATCAGTGTCGTAGCGCCCAGCACTGAGTCCGTGAAACTTGAAAAAGAAAATCAATTCCATGTCAACAGACATCAAGGAAAACGAGATAAATAACACGCACAGAGTCATAAACATACACCCCGCTAAGACGAAATGACTGAACGCCCACAGCGTTACGAGGTTGACTTTGATCGCCTCCGGAATCCTCAGCCACTCCCTTGCCCCTTCTCTTCTCCTGACTGCCACTGTCCCCGTTCGCGAATTCGCCCGCTGCCTTTGCCCATTCGTCCTTGCCTTCGTTGCAGGAGTCGCTACGAACCCCGGCAACACAACATTCAACACGAGCGCAATGATGGAAGAGTAGAATAAAGCTCGAGTCCCGAGAAGTGTTGCTTCGGTGTCTCTCTCTTCGGGCGTGAGAGAGGGCGACAGAGGCGTTGAGCGTCTGTAGAGATCACCTACGTAGATTGTGGTATAGAAGAGGATTGGAAACCAAGCTATCCATGCGCTGTTGGTTCACGTTGTAGTTAGTCAAAGTGGAGAGGATAAGATGAGGAAGGACGGGGATCGTACAAGAATTGGATAATGAACTTTGTTGTTATCAGATGTGTATACCTGAATATTCAAGGCAAACTCACTATTTGACGTATTACCGGTGGTAGAGTAAGGAGATTAGACCATAGTGCCCTGGCTTCGCGGACGAAGGGATTTGGCCGCTTTCCCAACGGTCGCTCAGCGCTTGTCAGGAGCACACGCTCCTTTACGCAGATAGCCATCAAACTATGTCCACCGAGCAAAAGAACAACGACTATAACACTCAAAACCTCAAGCTCCGTCGTCCCAAGGAACGGAAACATTTTCGGGAGGGGTATAGTGCCGAACAAAAATCCAACCACCGAACCGAGACCAAGCATACGTGCTGCCCATGCGTTCCCGGAAGCCTGAGCAGCAGGCGGAAGTGCGTCGACAAGAAGCGCACGGTCCATCGCCATGACCGCGTTAATCGAGAAGTCGATGAGGTATATCGAAAGGACCGCGAGTGATACAGTCAACGAATCATTTCCCTTCGACCCTCTTGCCGTAAAAGCAGACGCGAAATCGCGCGTAAATCCTAACATCAACATTGCAAACACACACACGATTGTTCCAACCATCATAAACGGCCTCCTTCTGCCAAACCTCGATGTCGAATTATCCGCAAGGACACCAATAATAGGTTGCATGAACAATCCGGATAGTGGTCCGGCGAGGAAAACTAAGGACATAGCTGACTTGGAAAGACCGAGAGAGAGAAGATAGGGGGACGCGTATCCCATTTCGACCGACCAAAATATCTGGACGCCGAGGAGTCCAATGGTAATTATGGGGAGGTGAGACCATTTGGGCCCGAGGATGTAGGCTTTGCCTGCGAATTTTTGGGTGCTCCCGTCAAGAGGAAGAGGACCGAACCCTGTCATGATTTCAGAAGATAATAATAGTTTTGACGTCGTGATAGGACTGTTCCATCGTGAGTTAGTAATGCCCTGCGAAATAGTCGCAGAACACACCTGAAGCTGTGTCGATCATTCAATGTAATAGGAGAGTAATTAGGGCTGTATTTTGGCCGTGACGAGTTGAAGAAGCTGCCAGAGACTTAGGACGTTACAATGCAAGGCATTATGATAATGTAGAACGCACCAATTCAGAGTCAACCAGAACAGAACCTAAGAGATCTACAGTCAGATGATAGGCGAGCAAGTATAGTAATTAGCTGATACTTGTCATAAGTGACGCGGTCAAAGGCAGCCCATGACATTTCCATTTTAAGAGAAAGTTATCTAATGATGGCACGTGCAGCCCATGGTCCGACCATTTGTTGACGATTGGTTGACGAACCTGCTGTATCTCTTGCTATGTATCGCATTTTACAACACACCACTTATCTTACTGGATCATCTGGGCCCAAGTCTGAATCTTTCTTTGGGCTTGTTGATGACTCTCCCTGTGAGGCTCAAGGTCCCAGAAAGCTCCTGCAAAACTTGTCCGCAAAATAGCGGATTTATCTTGCAGAATCTAAGTACTAACTTTGTGGATTTGAGGCCTTTCTGGAGGCGATCTAAGTCTGTCTTATTGTGGATTCGAGGTCCATTCAGGCAAAATTTTTGAAAAACTGACAATGCAATCCAAAGCATTTCAGGCATTTAGAAAGACCATTTGAGCCATTTTGATTGATGTATGACAGATTTCAACCCAAATTTATGTATCGAGGTGATACATGCATGATAACTCATAAATTTTTTGAACTCAATAAGTATTCCTTCCTCACCTAAACACTTACCAATATGCCAGACAAGGTAAAAAAAACACACAAGGTTCTCATGAGCTAAGATCTATTGTTGCCAAGGCACCTGTCCTAAAAATTTTATCTCCAGTATAGATAAGATGACATAGCTTTTAGCATATATGAAAAACACTGTTTCTCCCAAAAAAAATTGAAGAAAAATGAGAATTTCCTTTTAGGCCATATGTTGTCCATTATTATGGATTCTGGATGGGTGTGCAAAGAAAGAGGGAAGAAGATGACCTAATGGGAGTTTGGTTGGTTTGTGATTGGACAGACCTTCATTAGATATGAAGAGAAGGCAAACTCAGGCTTAGGCCAGTCCCAAGTTCACAAGATAGTATGAGAAGAGGTCTGATTCCATACACAGAGTTAGCTCTGGTTGGATTCACCCACCCAGGCACAGTGCATGTTCAACCCAGCCTACTGACTAGAGCAGCAAACACAAATGACATTGACAGTGTTGACAGTAGCAGTATAAAATATGGGAGGAGGAGGAGGAGGAGGAGGAAGCAATTTTTATTTGTTACAAGCACTATTTTCACATGAAATTCATCATGAGCGAGTAGTGTCCTAGTGCCTGCAGTATGCAATGGGGGTGGTAATTATGGACACATCCTTGAGTACTCCAGCCTGATGCCTTTTCAAGCATGCTGGTGATGCTTCATAGCCATTTTGCTACAAATTGATCCCTCAGAGTTCATACTCTCTTCCCACACTAATTCCAGTACCATCTGCCATTAACATGCCATCCCAATTGCTAAACTCCTGTACTCTTGGCAATGCTTGCCAGGAATTCCATGTACCAGGTCATTCACTGAGCCAGTCCTCCCAGCCAAGGTCCCACAATTCTAAACCTTCCCCACACCCAGACCAGTATCATCAGCTAGCCTTGGAACCCCAAAGGGCAATTGATTGGGTCAGCCAGCCATTCAAGGCCATGGCTGTACTTGGCCAAACCCAACCAACAGATCACACAATTCATTGGCAATCTCCCTCAGCATATTTTGCACCTATTTTCCCAGCCTACCCATACCACAACAAGCTTGGTCAACAAGCCTTAGACTCCAACAAGTCCATCACACCAGGGAGTCCTTTTTTTCTGTCTGGACATGAGTGTGGTGGTGACATTGCTTCATCAAGTTGCATGCTGATTGGTTGCTTGCCTTCAGCCTGCACAACAAAGCCTCCCTGTAAGGGGACAATCACTCTGTGGGTGAACCCAGCAAGAGCAGGCAAGGCACAGGCAATGAGCAAGAGTCAAGGGGCATTGGGGCAGTCAGGAGTTGGGCAGAAGGCAAGCATAGCAAGCTGAGCACAGAGACAACACTTAAAGATCTTAAAGTTGGATCAATGGACAGACCTAGTGA